GGACCTCTGTGGTTGACTCCCAGAGCTGCCAATCAAGCTACGGACAACTGCTATCAGTGTTTCTTGGGCTCTCCAGAAGTCCATCCCCAGCGTTGCCTAGGAATTGATTGAATTGGTGCCAGGCTGTCTGTCTAATGAACCTCCATGGAAAAAAGGCAGTTCGTTTTTGGATTTGGGAACAACACAACCAAACGAACCGATTGGAAACAAACCATGAACCTACCTGGTTTGCGCTCAAACCACAGTTCGTTTCTTGGTTCGAGCCCATCCCCAGTGCCAACTACAATCCAAACCGTTATCAACATTGTTGATTATGTGCAGTGTTTCTTCAGCTGATCTCAGACTTCCAGTGGGGAAAATCTACTACTGGTGAAAGGCAGATGACGTCTGCAGCACATGTAAGCCTGCATTAATGCCAACATTCACCAGTGGTGAAACAGGAAGGCAGCAGAATCTCACTGGCCTGCCCTTTTTGGACTAGACAGTGGCTCTAAGAATGATGCTTCACTGATCCCTATACTACCACCTATTTCTGTCCCTTTTCTGTTGTTAGCAATCAGAGGGGCTGTGGCTCAGTGTTTGGCATGCAGAAGGTCCCGGGTTCAATCACCAGCATCTCTAGTTAAAAGGATCTGGTAGTAGGTGATGTGAAAGACTTCTGAGACCTTGGAGGGTCTCTGCCGGTCAGAGTAGACAATATTGACCCTGATAGACCAGACCAATGGTGTGATTCAGTATAAGGCGGCTTCATGTGTTCAAACTGCTCTCTTGACTACGCAGTTATCATCTTCGCCAAACCTTGTTTTGAAGTCCCGGTTTCAATTACTTGCCGCCCAGTGCCCTTGTATGTGGTTAACGAGATGTAAAACCTTTACAATATCGTCTCGGTGGCTTTCTTTGAAAAGAAACAGTTTATTTGAAGATGAAAAAAGTACATAAAGTATTCAAACTTATATTACCATTGTTCTTTTAAACTTCCTCATATATAACTTCTCTGCCATTTAGATGATCCATGTCATATCTTGCTAACTCCAACATATTTTAACTGTTTCTTTCCACTACTATGGTTTAAGTTTCTTAACAAATTCCTCTGTCTAATGCTCTAAACTTCATTACTCTTCGGTCTTAGCCGGCACATACTGCTGTATCCCCAACTGCCTCTCCTGCGGCAGAAAAGACTGCAATCACTCACGGAAGCTCCTGCCCTGCCACAGATTTTGTTGGTCTTGAAAGGTGCTGCTGGAAGCTTGCTCTTTTCTGCTGCTACAGACAGACTAACACGGCTACCCCCATCTTCATCTGCCTCTCCTGCTGCTTCTTCCCCAAGATTTTTTAAAAGAATCCCCATCTGTTTATGGGGCTACTCATTTAAACAATCACATTCCTGTTCTTTTCTGACCAACACATGCCCATTTTACAATTTCAAATAAGAACTCGATATCCACTCAAAATACCTATATTAAAAAGCTAAAACGTATGCTTTAGAACCTCTGTCGAAGTGAACAATGAAGTTGTTCCATCGTAACACCGCCATTACCAGACGACACTTCCGTCAATATGTGTAATCCTGTTGTAACTTATTGCTTAACCCAAAAGACAGACCTCCCAGTGTCCAAACACCAAAGACAACAAAACTGGGGCCAAAATCAATCCAATAATACACTCTTAAGCATTAGTTATGTATGCTAATATAATTACTTTATACTTGATATAATATTTAAGTATACAATATATTCATAAGGTATCCAACCTAATCATACAGTATCTTAATAATATACAATAACATACAATAATACAATAATATATCAATTGCTGCCAACAGCCAAAAGGAACTTGTAGAATTTCAAAACATGTACTGTTAACAGTCAAAAGAATGTAAAGCTTGTCAAAAGAATGTAGAGCTTGACAAAGCAGCCGGCTTGTGCTTGGTTTCGTCTTTTGACTTCCTCAGAAGCAACTTAGCTTGTATTGTATATAAGTTTTCTCTATGTTGTAATATTACTTCCTGGTCTCTAAAAACTTCTCAAGAGTTGCTACCTTTAATATAGGGACTAGCCCTTATTTCCTTAGACAGTATCTCATATGGGACCTGTCCTTGACAGACAAGGCTTCGAAGCCAAAAAGAGCTTTACATTCTTTTGACTGTTAACAGTACATGTTTTGAAATTCTACAAGTAACTTATTGCTTATTCAGTGCATCTTGTGATAAGGAATGCCACGTGGTGATTGATTGCATCGGTGAAAGTAGCTCCTTTGGGCGGTGCAGAACCCGCTACCATTAAATGCTGCTGAGTGACAACATTTGTATTTTTCAGAGAGAGAGAGAAAACTTCTATTCAGTCTCTCTGCACCATTCATAATGTTAGACTTCTAGCCTATCTATGCCAATAAAGGTTTTTTGAACTGACTGACTTCTAGCCTACCTCTCCCTTTGTAATTGTTTTTCTAAATTAAAAGACCCCCCCCAAAAAAAAAAAAATCTTAAGGGGAAAAAAATCTTAAAGGGAAAGCATTTATTCCTTTTCATCCTTTTAACTCTTATTTCCTGTTTTCTTTCCAGCTCTAGAAAGTGAAGATTCTCTGTCAGAGGGTGCAGTAATGGCCACAGGAATAAACTAGCTTTAAAGGGGGGTTAGACAGATAGGGTGGCTCCTGGGCATGGTGGCTGAGGGGACCTTCATGTCCAGAGGCCCTAAACCTCTGAATCCCAGACCCAGAAGGCAACATCGGGGAAGGCCTTGGCCACTGTGTGAGACAGGATGCTGGACTAGAAGAAGAAGAAGAGATTGGAATTATACCCCGCCCTTCACTTGGAGTCTCAGAGCGGCTTGCAAACTCCTTTCCCTTCCCCTAAGAACATAAGAGATGGCAATGTTGGATCAGGCCAAAGGCCCATCCAGTCCAACACTCTGTATCACACAGTGGCCAGAAATACCAAGTGCCATCAGGAGGTCCACCTGTGGGGCCAGGACATTAGAAGCCCTCCCACTGTTGACCCCCCCCCCAAGCACCAAGAAGACAGAGCATTCCTTGCCCCAGAGTCCCTATCTATACCTTGTGGCTAATAGCCACTGATGGACCTCTGCTCCATATGCTTATCTAATTCCCTTTTGAAGCCGTCCATGCTTGTAGCCGCCACCACTTCCTGTGGCAGTGAATTCCAAGTGTTAATCACTCTTTGGGTGAAGAAGTACTTCCTGTAAGCCGCCCTGAGCCCGCTTGCGGGGAGGGCGGGGTAAAAATACTTAAATAAATAAAAAATAAATAAAATTTTATCCGTTCTAACCCGTCCGCTCAGCAATTTCATGGAGTGCCCACTAGTTCTTGTATTGTGAGAAAGGGAGAAAAGTACCTCTTTCTCTACCTGCTCTTTCCCATGCATAATTTTATAAACCTCAATCATGTCACCCCTCAGTCGTCGTTTCTCCAAGCTAAAGAGCCCTAAGCGCCTTAACCGTTCCTCATAGGGAAAGTGTTCCAACCCTTTTATCATTCGAGTTGCCCTTTTCTGCACTTTTTCCAAAGCTATAATATCCTTTTTAAGGTGTGGTGACCAGAACTGCACACAGTATTCCAAATGAGGTCTCACCATTGATTTATATAGGGGCATTATGATATTGGCTGATCTGTTTACAATACCCTTCCTAATAATCCCCAGCATAGCATTGGCCTTCTTTATTGCAGTCACACACTGTCTCAACATTTTCAGTGAGTTATCCACTACAACTCCAAGATCTCTCTCTTGATCTGTCTCTGCCAGTTCAGACCCCATCAATGTGTATTTATATTTAGGATTTTTAGCTCCAATGTGCATCACCTTGCACTTGGCCACATTGAACCCCATTTGCCATGTTGACGCCCACTCGCCCATCCTTGACAGATCCCCTTGGAGTGCCTCACAATCCTCACTGGTTTTCACCACCCTGAACAACTTCGTATCATCCGCAAATTTAGCCACTTCACTGCTTACTCCCATCTCCAAATCATTAATGAACAAGTTAAAAAGCAGTGGACCAAGTACTGATCCCTGTGGTACCCCACTGCTTACACCCCTCCACTGGGAGAACTGCCCATTTATACTCACTCTCTGTTTTCTATTAATTAGCCAGTTTTTGATCCATAAAAGGACTTGTCCTTTTATCCCATGATTTTTGAGCTTGCTTAGGAGCCTTTGATGAGGAACTTTATCAAAAGCTTTCTGGAAGTCAAGGTAAACAATATCTATTGGATCCCCCTTGTCCACATGTTTGTTCACCCCCTCAAAGAACATTAACAGGCGAGACAAGATCTTCCCTTACAGAAACCGTGCTGAGTCTGCCTCAATAGGTTTTGTTCATCTATGTGCCTACTAATTCTTTCCTTAATAATGGTTTCCACCAATTTACCCGGTATCGACGTCAGACTGACTGGCCTGTAATTTCCCGGATCTCCTCTGGAACCCTTTTTAAAAATGGGAGTGACATTAGCTACCTTCCAGTCCTCAGGAATGGAGGCTGATTTTAAGGAAAGATTACATATTTTTGTCAGAAGATCCACAAGTTCACATTTGAGTTCTTTCAGAACTCCCCACAACAGACACCCTGTGAGGTGGGTGGGGCTGAGGGAACTCTGACACAAACTGCCCTTTTTCAAGGACAGCTGTGCCAGAGCTTGTGACTGACCCAAGGTCACATCAGCAGGTGCAAGTGGAGGAGTGGGGAATCAAACCTGGTTCTCCCAGATTAGAGTCCGCACACTTATCCACTACACCAAACTGGCTCTCACTAGATGGCCCACTGCTCTGATCCAGTAGGGCTGTTCTTATGTTCTTAAGATAAAACCTTTCCCACCTGTATATGTACAATGATCTTTTTTTTTTAAGACAGTATTAATTTGAAAAAGTGCTTCCGACTGGCTTCATTGTAATATTTCTTCACATTCTAGAATACAGAAAAACCTATGCAATCAAAAATATTACGTCAGCTCTTGGCAAGCTCCATTCATAAAATGCAGCCGCATTCCTAGGAGGCACGGGGCACGTCAGTTTTTTTAAAGGGAACATAGTGATGTCTTTCAGGATTGTCTGCTAGCTTGCATATTCTCTTAACCCTCGCATAAGGACCGATGCTCTTATCGAAAACAAAGTCCCACAGAACCCGAACCCAAGACTGATGCTGAGGTAGTGTGTCGTAATATTCTGCAGCTATCTTCTTTACCTGCAAAAGGTAAAAATTACATCTTGTTAAGCATTTTCTTTTTTTTATGGAATCCCATCTATTTTTAAGGCTTACTGCATACATTATAGGCATAAAAATGGCTCCAAACTTCCTGGAAAAGAAAGCAAAGCAGATCTTCCAGGGCTTCCCTTTCTCCCAGCAGCCTCCCCTGCATAGCCCCCCCCCCCCAAAGTACCATATACAGCATGAGTAGGATGGTGAACTGAAGGAAGAAGGAAAACTGGATTCAGTCACCTCCTCCTTATGAGAAGAAGAGTAGGTTTTTATACCCTGCTTTTCTCTACCTTATGGAGTCTCAAAGTGGCTTATAATTGCCTTTCCTGTCCTCTCCCCACAACAGGCACTTTGTCAAGTAGGTGGGGCTGAGAGAGTTCTGAGAACAGTGACTGGCCCAAGATCACCCTGCAGGCCTCATGTGGAGGAGGTGAGGGGAATAAAACCCAGTTCTCCATATTAGAGCCTGCCACTCTTAACCGCTATACCAGGGGTGGCCAAACTGTGGTTCGGGAGCCGCATGTGGCTCTTTCACACACATTGTGTGGCTTCCAGCAGGGTGGCTGGGCAAGCTAAATATCATTAGCAAACAAATTGTCATTGGACAAATAAATACCATGAACAATATCTGCTTTTACCACTTTTGTTATTATTTTTGGCAGTCTTATTTAATGTCTATAAAAAGCAAATTTGCATATTTTCCAATTAAAACATATATCTGTTCATGTCTTGCGGCTCTCAAATATCTGATGTTTATTCTATGTGGCTCTTACATTAAGCAAGTTTGGTCACCCCTGCGCTGTACCATGATGAGGCAGGCTGCTTCAGGAAAATCATCTCCTGGGGACCAAGCCCTCTGAGGAAAGGCTGAGGGACTTGGGAATGTTCAGTCTGGAGAAGAGGTGGCTGAGGGGGGATAGGATTGCTCTCTTGAAGTATCTGAAGGGCTGTCACTTAGAGGGGGGCAGGGAGCTGTTTCTGTTGGCAGCAGAGGAGAGGACTCACAATAATGGCCTTAAATTAAAGAGTAGGAAGGTACCGGCTGGATTTTAGGAAAAACTTTTTTACAGCAAGAGTTGCGCAGCCGTGGAATCAAGCTGCCTAGGCTGGTGGTGAGCTCCCCCTCACTGGCAGTCTTCAGGCAGCGACTGGACAAACGATTGTCAGGGATGCTCGAGGCTGATCCTGCATTGAACAGGGGTTTGGACTAGGGGGCCTGTATGGCCCATTCCAGTTTTATAATTCTGCGATTCCATTCATATAAGCTTGGAGCCAACTTATGATGTGAAAATTGTAGACAGCAGGAACCGCCACAAGTACAAGAAATCGGGGGGGGGGGAACGTGTGTGCACATTTTATGTTTATTTAGAACAAGTGAATTTAAGTGGTACAGCAGGAAAGTTCATTTACAGGATTGGATCTTGACGAGATTTTCCATTAGTGGAATGGAACCCTCAGGGACAATATGAGGGCCCGCCTGCAACAGGAACACGACTCCTCCTGGCTGTTCTTCACCACTGCCTCTGTTGTGAACACATTCTGTTCAAGCGCAGTGCGGTGAACACAGAGTTCAGAATGAGATGTTACCCCACCTCCCATAAAATGTTACTGTCTCCTGTATTCAATCCCTGCTCGGTGTTTGTGTGACCTTTGAGACTCAGACATAAAAATAGCAAACTGTCAGTTTACAGGCCCAGACTGAAATACCAAACCTGAAAAGGTCTCTTTTGTTTTCCGTAAAGGAAGTCAACTGGATGTTTTGCCTCTTTTTTGTAGTAAAGGTGTATCACACAGAAATGGGAAGAGGATCTGCAGTAAGTCTCTGTATTCCACTACTCACGTGCTGCATTTAATGATCTCTCTTGGGAGAGGACAGATCTAAACACCAGCTTTTTTAACACTGAACTGACACGGAGTTTGACTGTCAAATAATGGCTATCCATGCACTGGCTGTCCTTCTCCCACCCCCCGCAGCCATCACCATGTCCTCCAAGGTTTAATTTGACATCACACGAAAAGGTACAGATTGTTTAACATGACTTGTAGCAGAGAAAAAGCAGTTACCAAAACAAGGCAAAATGGGTCCCACAAGCCCTAGTCTTTTTTTTTATTGTTTTCCAAGCACAAGAAACAATTACAATTACAGGAGTCTGGCCCTCTCCGGGACTTCTTATTCCCCCCCCCGTTTGCCCCTTGTTGATGGGCAAGGTTTATTAGTTTTTTTAAAGAGTTATATAAAACAAAGAAGAGAGCAATACACTTCAAAAGTATCCAGCCATTGTCTCGTTCATAAAATCTTTAGATACATAATTCCCTTTTTTCCTTTGTTAATCTATAGTCCACAACAGATATCATTAAGTAAAATTCTGTTCCCAATAAACAATTCATTTTTTCTATATCCTATCTGCTATTACTATTATTAATCAATTTTATAACAATAAAAATATAAAAGGAAAAAAACCCAGGTATTTCACAGCAGTTAGACAGTTCAAATTTCTTATATAATATCAATCTAGTCCCTTTAAGATATTTTTTCATATTTTTAGCATTGTTAGCTTTCAAAATCCCCTTTGTTTGCAAACCTAAACGTAGTAATTTATATTTTCTCCATAACATCAGCTCTCAACTTTACAATGCCAATATACTTTCACCTCACACTATATAGATCCCTCTTTTCTCTCACAACACTTAGGGTCATTACACCTTCTCTAGGTAATTAGCCCATTACTTTTATTTTTTCCGTACAAGGCCCACTTTAAGAGTCAAAACTACCCTATAATTTTTTATCAACCATCAGTTAGAACATTACAAATATCCAAAACATATTGCTTCAAATAAACCAACCATTACTTCTAACTTTCACTAATCAGTTAAGACAATAAAGATAGTCAATATTTGTAACTACAGATTATATTCTTAATCAGTCATTTATCAAGTATCAGTAAAGGTTCAGAGAAAAGAAGGAAGAAAGAAATAATATATGAACAAATGTGTGTTATTATTGTTGTTTTTCTTTTGCAGTTTGAGAGTTCACTTTAGGTAAATCTTCTCATTAGTCA